GGCAGTCAGTTTCTCCGTTCACCAACTTCTACCGCATTCTGAGTAAACCCTGTTCCACCCTCCACCGAATCAGACAAACACTGGAACCACGACACACAGAGAGGAGTCAAGGATTCAACGACTTCTCTGGAAAAGTGAATCAGCAACCAAATCCTCTTCTCCAAGTTCACCAGTCAAATTCCCCACTGAGCCTGAACTAACCGCTGTGTCTTCCCCTCACTTTACAGTTCCGGATGAGCAGTGTTCAGAGCAACACTTCTCTCTCTGTTTAACCACTTCAATAAAACCCGTTAAACCTTTTCCCTGGTCTCTCTGTTCGGTTTTTCTGCATGTGGGTCTGAACTTTGTAAAATCATGACATGAACAATGTTCTGATCTCAGTGTTTCATCCAATAAAAAGACTGGCTGACAGGCAAAGAAAAAAACTCAAGACCCCTAGATCTCCTACTTAAACACTGTGTGCATAAATGTAAATTTGATAATTCCACCAAACATGCTGGCATGTGTCGGTTCAGAGCTGAAGGCCTATTCTTCTGAAAGGAGCCCCAGTATAATCAGGAGCTGTGGGTACAGATCGCACAAGTTTCCTTGCCATGTCAGGCCACGAGTCGGAGCTTATTTCAAACAGGGTTAGAAGCAATCAAGCCCTTCCATTAGTTTAATGTTCTGGTCCACGATGGTGAGCTGGCAGAGATTTGGGAAGTAGGAGAGTCCAACGATCCGAGGGAAACCAGAGAAGAAGAGCTCCAGAGATGTGATGCTGCTCCCTTCAGTTTCTGTTTTCATAGGACAGCCCATTCAAAGAGCACTAAAAAAAAAGATTACTTTGGTTTTAATGATCATTCCTTGTTCAGACTTGAATCATTATACGATATTCAACTGAAAATCATAAAAAAAAAAAAAATAAATAAAGAATCAATTTAGACTTTCCAGAAGGTTTTTGTTAGTCGGCTTTTCTATCCTGGACCAGTTTAGATGTGTTTTTTATATGGGCGTAGCTTTGCACTGGGACATGTCCCTATGAAAATATTGGACCAGCCTTCTTGTCCCTAAAAACAATTACATGTGAATAACATGTTTATAATTTACAATACAGCGTTTTTGCAGCAGTAGATGAGTTCTGGATGGAGAATATTGACAGACGAAAACATGTAAAAAAAATAAACATAGATTTTTCATTTTAGATAAAACAATTTTGGTGTAATTCCTGCTCTAAGTGGGTCGCTCTGTCAGCTCAAGACATGTTTTAGAGTCTCTATACTCAGATTATAGATTAATTGATTACAAAATTTTTTGACATTTCAATAATTGATTAATCCAATGAATTGTTTCAGCCCTTAATAAAACACATGAAATGGGTTAAACAGAGTAACTGTGGAGACGGGTGAAGCTCCTCTTAACTGCCACAAGAGGACGCTGAAATGTTAGATGTTTTTCTGGTAAAATCGAACAACGGTGTATGGCGGGTTGTATGGTGATTTAATAATGCATTGAAGAATTTACCTTAGTCAAAATATAATTACGAGTAAAATCGAGTAAAAAGGTGAAACGGTATTAGGAAAAGTTATTTTTGCAGTGTTTAATGTCTTTTAGTGGTTGTTAAAACTGGTACTCAAGATACACTATCCTGCAGCCTTGGATGTTTCACTGCTTTTACTGTTTAACTTTTTCGCAGGATTGCAATAAAATAAAGCCTGTTTTTATTAATTAAACATTCCATCTTTTAATGTTTTAATACCACATATTTTAGTATCTGTTTTTAATGCTCTTTTTTGTTTCTGCATTTTTTTCCTACTTGCTTTGATTCTGTTTTATTTTCCTATATTTTAATAATGTAAAGCACTTTGCATTGTACTGAATTGTGCTATACAAATACATTTGCCTTGCCTTGCTTTAGAAATTTATCTGAAAGCCAAAAAAAGTTGTGAAGTGAAAGAAGAAAAATTACATGTACCGGTAACTTTTTTTTTACAATAAAAAACTGAACAATGTGACATGTTTGGTATTCGGTCTTAATGACTCAATAATGTGTATTAACACATTCTATGTCTGTAAAAGATTAGTAAATCTGTGTATTGGATGTTCTTTCAGATTAAGTAAGATTTAGTAATGCATAGGTTCATTTCAGTGAAATAGAAATTAGAATCAGAAATTGAAAATCACACATATGTTCACATGTGCAGCAGTATATATTTCACAAATGTATTTCCATTGATGTTTGTGATTATTGCCTACAGGTTAAGAAAACCCACAACCTTGGAATATCGAAGAAAAACTTTTTAAAAAATGGATTAAGAATCATTTCTTATAGAGAAATGTTCTGCTATGGAGTAAAGATGATGCGTTGTTAAAAAGGTCAGCTGTTTATAAAGGTAACGGAAAGTTGAGTTGAAGGAAGAAATGATGCCGAGGGGCAAACCCTTTGCAGCTGACCTGGAGGAAAAATACAATAAGGAATCTCTTGAGGGTGTTTATCAGAGGTGAAGCTGTCAGAGGTTGGTGAGGAGGTTCAGGATGATAAGAAGGACCTTACTGAGAAGACAGACCAGGGAAATAAAGAAGGAGAACATCAGCAAAGGACATGCAGAGAGTGCCAGTCATGGTAGCTGAAGGATATGACAGATGAATGAGACCTAGGAACCTAAAAATAGAGGAGATGATTACTGAAAATTACAAGCTGTTTAAGATTGAAGAAGCTGAAGGAAAATGACTGACTGATTCTGAAGTATGAAAACAATCCAAGTAGGAAGACTATTTGATATTTAATAAAGGAAATTAATAATAATTTTTTTTCAAAGAAAATGTTTCTATATAAATATCACTAAATCTGAAAATAATCAATCTGGAGTAAATACAGAATATTCATTTTTAAGTTTCACGGTTGCAGCTTTCATGTTTTTTAAATTTAAATTTTCTTTTATTTAAAAAAGCTTTTATGAATATCACACTGTGAGATAACCAAACCTATCACTCCTCTTAGACTAACTAGAAATACCAATAAGAAATGGAAAATTTGAGGTCCTATTGATATGATTATGATTATAAATTAGATTTTTTTTTTTTTGTCTTTCAAGACCAGTGTTGATTTCGTAAGGTTTTTTTTTTTTTATTTAGTCTTTTGTCACAATGACAAAAATCAATTTTAGTCTTAGTCATACTTAGTCATTGCCTTCCCAATTCAGTCTTATTCTAAATGACGAAAATCAATTTTAGTCTTAGTCAAATTTGAGTAATTTTAGTTAAAGGAATAGTACACCCAAAACATGATTAGCCTTCATTTTCTTTCATCTGGTTTTGTCTGCCGCGGTTTCCGTAACGTCGTGAACTCGCAGGCGCGCGCTTTCAGGAAATCCTATACACTACTGTTTATGCTCTAAAAACATTCTAAATGACTTTGTTTCAAGTAAATTCTGCATGCTGCCCACTCAGGACACTTGGAATACATTGGACGAGCAGTATGGAGGAATATTGACACGTTTTTTGTGGACTTTTATGGACCTTTCTGTCTCGGGCACAATAGACCTCCATTATTTGAATGTCAGCAAGAAGCCTCCCAGATCTCCAGATGCATTTAAGATA